AGCTCTGTCTTTTGACTCAGATGGAGCTGGCTGTCAGCAAAATCCCTGTTTTATTCACACATGCTTCTGCTAAGCCGACACTTCCCCCACCCTGTCCCTGTACAGCCGGTGTCTTGGAGCCAAGCCTGGATCCTTCAATGAAGCCCTTTCATCTTACCTTGTGGATTTGGACTGTTGCTGCAGCAGAGTAGGTTGTGTTGGTCCCAATTCTCCCCAAATGTTCCTGTAATGACTAGCTTCCTGCTAGTCACAGAACCAAAGGGCTGTGGTTTTGTTTGGGCCCTAATTAAATAATAATAATAAAGGCTGGGTGTGGACCAAATTAGGAGTAAAGATAGAAGCAATCAATTACACCTAGGATACTTCATGTTATGATGCACTGTGCTTCAGAGACAGACATCAACTAATTTATTCTTGTCAACCATATGAAAACTGACCCCTTTTTACAGATGTATAAACAGAGGCAGAAAAGCAAAGTGACCATATCTAAACAATACATGCCGAGTCAAGTGTCATGTTTTTCTGTCATCTGCAGCTCTCACCCCTAAGGTGACCATCTCTCTCTCAGAGACATAGGTTGGCCCTCCTGATGGGAGTGGGATTTCTAGAACTAGAGAAACCGGGACCTGATTAGGTTAATAGATTACCCAGCTGTCTGTCCTTTTGCTGAGAGCCCACAGCAAGCTTTTGGGACTTGGGACTATCACCTAGGTTTCTTGAGCATGGACCAGGTAAGTTTGATCCAAAATGACACTTCAAAAGGAAACATACAGCCAGGAGTGGTGGCACACACCTTTATCCTAGCATGGAGGAGTCAGAGGCAGGTGGATCTCTGTGAGTTCAGGGCCAACCTGACTTACATAGTGAGTTCCAGGATGGCTAGGGCTACAACAGGGTCACACAGAGATACCCTGCCCCCAAACCAAAAGAAAAACCGTATCTGAGACTGCTCTTTCTGATCTTTCCCAAGTGACATTCCAAGTGGTTCTCCTGCAGTCCAGGGGGCTGGGCAGGAAGGCCAAACAAACATCTTACTCCTAGAATTCTAGAGAACTTTTATTTATTCATTTATTTGATTTTGAGGCAGAATCATATTATGTAGCCAAGGCTGCATTCAAACTTGTGATCTTTCTGCTTCAACCTCTGGAGTGTTAGAACTCCAGTTCTAACAGTGCCACTATTCCTGGCTACAGAGAACTCCATTTTTTATATAATTTAATTTTTTTATTTTAATTTTTGAGTCAGAGCCTCACTGTGTGGCCCAAGCTGGCCACCAACTTGTGGCAATCTCCCTGCCTGAGCCTTCTGAATTCTGGGGTTACAGTCATGAACCATCCCAGTTTCAGAGGATGCTTGAAGTTTCTTGGTTGCCTTAGAACCTTGACCCCTGTCCCATCTTTGTCCCTGCCTCCACTCACACTCAGTCTCCAGCACTGCAGTGGGCAGCTAATGGAGTTTCAGTGATGCACAGCTGGACAGTGATTGCCCTGGGTCCTCATCCGTGTATCTGTCTTGTCATCTGTGAGGGTTGTGCTGAGACAAACACGGGAGGCTGTGGTTTGTTAATAATTTGAGCCCCAGTGCTGGTAACTATGAGTTCAGGCACCTTGGAGACAGCAGATTTCAAGACCACAGTTGAAGCGTCTCTAATTTGGTTTGCTCTGGGAAGGTGGGTCCAAGCACGTGATTCTTCAAACAGCTGGTGTGTGTGTGTGTGTGTATAGAGCAAGTCAGTGAAGACACATGTAGAAAGAACAGCATGTGTACAATTATCCTTTGGTATACATGGGGTGTTCGCTTCTGGGTCTTTGTATCCACCAGAATCCAAAGATACCCCTTATATAAGATGGTGTACACCAGAATCCAAAGATACCCCTTATATAAGATGGTATAGTGTTTGCATATTGTCTACCATACCTTCCACATTCTGTAAGCCATATTGAGATCCCTTATGCTTGATATGTAAATGTCATGTAAATACTTATTACCCTGTATTATATAGAAAAATACTGACAAGGAAAACATGTCTGCATATTCAATATGTATGCCATTTTTAGCATTAAAAAAAAATCTATGGTTGGTTGACTCCACAGATGTAGAACCCATGGGTTCAGAGGCTAGCTAACTCACTGAGAAGAAGAAAGGCATGGGCATAGTGGCACCTGCCTGTGATTCCAGCACTGGAGAAGCTGAAGCAGGAGGGGGTGCCCCAGGTCAGGCTGTGAGCATGGGAAGTTGGGACCTAGCCTTGGGAGGCAGCTGACGAACATAAGCTGTTTTCCCAAATCGCCCACGTATCAAACTCAGCATCACAATGGCATATCTACCAGCATCCTCCTAGAGTGGTTGCTTCTCTTGGGTCCACCCCTTTCTCCAGCAAGCTCAGGGACATCCCTGTGAGGTAGGGTTATTCCCACTATACAGGTGAGAAAGATGAGGTGCTTAAGAAGGTATCACCAGATAGACCTACTTGGTAATTGGCTGTGTTCATAGAGCAGTGTGTGGAAATGGGCTTCAGAGGATGCAACAACTGATCCCTCTATCTCAAGAGCAAGGTGGCTGTTGTCCCCCCACCCCCTGACACTCAGTGTGCCTCCCTATTCCTGAATCCCTCTGCATCAAGTAGGAAAATTATCTACCTGTCACCTGAAGATATGGGTCTAGCTTCTACCCACAGCTGAACTTCTCTGGTGAGCAGACTGGAAATCCTGCCACCCCATGAGTCCAGTGCCACAAGTGAGGAGAGGAAGCTGAGACTGGGACCTCCTTCCCCCTGCACCCCTGTAGAGACAGCTGTTGAGTATAAGCTCCCTCCCTGTCTGCAGCCCACAGCTCCCGCCTGTCAAACTCGGCATCACAAGTGACACAGATCTACCAGCGACTTCCTGGAGTGGCTGATTCCAGAGTCTGCCTCTTTCCCCAGCAGGCTCAGCTTTCCAGTGAGCCCAGCAGGGGGCATCCTTGCCCTTCCACTGTCCACCCTGGGGGCTAGATTGGCCTACTGCCAGAGATGCCTTCCAATCAGCAATGCCCAAGAGTCAGTCCAAGGCCAACTTCCCAAATGTATTCCTGAGACTTCTCTCCCTTCAGCCACCGCCACTCTACTCTTATTTACCTTGCGTTTTTCTTTCTTTGTCAACTTAATATTTTTAAATCTTGAACTATAGCGTTCCAACAATCTTCCAGCTTGTTCCCCCAAAGAGCTGTGACTACAGACATGTGTCACCATGCTGGGCAATGTATAGGCATTTTTAAAAGAGGAAACCCCTCTTCAGTAAAGGTCTTTCAAATAGCTTGCCACTCTTCTGGCTGGCATCCAGATTTAGCAAGATAGTACCATTGATGTTCCAGTCAGGAATCCCAGAGCCTGTCCAGGGGATGCCATCAATGGGCAGGGATATATAAAGCTTTTCTTCTGTGGGCTTAGGGCCAGAGATTGAAGGAGCAAAGAGTCCAGAAATCTTTGAAGGAGGAACAGAGACATCCCTCCTCCCTTCTAGGCTGTCTTCCAGGCCTATGGCTGCAGGCAAGACAGGAAGGAGGAACTTGGATAAGGGGACCAGATCCGTTGCAGGTGACAGGTGTAGGGCTTTGGGAAGGGGCAGGGATTTCCCTTGCAAAATTCATTCAAACAGACAAGGAACCTGATCCCATGGAGACAGCCAGCTATGCATGGGCTCCCAGGAGGCTCCCAGGAAGATCCAAGGCTGGAGGGAGGGGGTGAAGAGAGACACTGAGGGCAAACTTGAAACACCTGTCACCTGTAGGAGTTTGGGAGCTGTTTCCAGGTGGTTCATTCAGATCTTGCTCTGGTTCTGCCCCTCTGGTCTTAGAATTGCTTTTTTGAGGACAATTTCTAAGCTATCTTCCTTTGAGAAGTTCACTACTTTTTTGGGGTGGGGGTGGGGGTGTCAGGCTCTTTTGTAGCTAGTCTTGAACTCCTAATCCCCATCCCTCCACCTTCAAGTGCCGCAGCCCCACAGTTTTATCTTTTGACTCTCACTAATGCTAACTAACCTGTTCATCTAAACCTCTTCTCTCTCGCCAGCCCCCACTTTGGCTCCTAGCTGCAGAGGCAGTTCCAGAGCATGGGGATGGGAGTTCACAGTTGTCAGGAGTGGCACAGAGAACCCTGGTGAGACCTATTGCAGAAAGCCAGGCCTCAGATGGGGAAGGAAATCATGGGTTAAGTTTCTAGCCTCCTCTCTAGCGGGGCTAAGCCATTTGATAAGAGTGCATTAGGTAAGAGGAAATGACTGGGGCCTGGGGTGACCTGGAACTGAACCTCTGGGATAGATATGGAGGATGTAAGGATCACAACACCCCGAACCGGGCTAGAGCGGGCTACACCCTGAACAGGGGCTAGAGCAGGGCCCCCTCTGCCTCTCAGAACCGCTCTCCTCCAGGATCTGTGTGTGAGGCAACACAGTGCATGAAGGAACACTCCAGTGGAGACTGGTGGCAAAGGGCCTCTCCATGGAGGCTGTGTGAGGCAGCAGCTGTGCAGTGGAGTTTTTAGGTCTTCACTAAAAGGTTCAAAGATGCAGAGAAGTGTCATGGGTGAGAGGCATATTGCCTCACCTGCTCTCATTTTCATGGGGAGGAAGCATTGAGAAAGAGGAGCTGGCTGCTCCTGTAACTTTGCTTATTCAAAACACTCAGTGCCAGCCGGGACCTGGCCCATCCCTGACTCCCACCTCCTGAGTGATCCCACCCTCTTAGGACAGAACCCCTGCTCTGTGGAGGACCCTTTTCCGGGAGAGCTATGTGTGTTCTCACCTCATCCCAAGCCTCAGTAATGGCATCTCCCACTGTCCTCTATATCACTTTGGTCCAGCCGCTGGGGTAAATCTGAGCAAAGACTATCCTTGTAACAGGGGTCCTGGCCCCAGTAATTCTAGACGTCATAGCCCGCCCCGCAGTTCACAGCAGCCCAGAGAAGGAAGCTCAGAGCAGGAAGTGCTGAGACAGGGGGTGGGGAGGGACTCCCAGGAGGGGAGCCCAGCCCCGGTGGGCAGAAACAGCCATTGCAGCCTCTGACTTCAGATGGAGGAGGAGGCTGATTTACAAGGCAGATCGACTGGGCCCCTGACTGATGCTCTGAGTCCAGCTAGTGCCACCCTGTAGCCTATAAGAGCACCACCCCGACTTCCGGACCAGTACTGGGCGGGTGACATGTGAGCCCAGCCTAGCTTCCCCTCTAGTTCACCCTCCTTCCTTTTCTCCTCCTGTCCTCTGGAGAGGTTTGTCCAATCTCTCCAAAGAGGGAGACCCTTGGCATCATGTCTTTGCTCAACCCTGTTCTCTTGCCCCCTAACGTGAAGGCATATCTGAGCCAAGGGGAGCGCTTCATCAAGTGGGACGACGTGAGTAGGGCTGGGGCCCTCCCGGGGACCGGACAGCGGGGGGCTGGGCTGCTTGGGAGCTTTGCAGAACTGGAGGGTTGGTTTATGTCTTCAAGCACCCAGGCGCCTATGTGGCTTGACCAGGCAACTGTCACAACAGTCTAGATAAACAAGTCTAGGGTGAGGGTGTGTGCTCCTGGCTGCTGGAGGGAAGCCTCTGTGTTTGGGAATGAGGGGGTAGGCTGCGTGTGTGTGTGTGTGTGTGTGTGTGTGTGTGTGTGAGTCAGTATCGGAAAAGCGAATCTCTTTGGATCTGACTTGCCCTTTTCAAATCCCCGAAGATGATAAAGGTTAGTTTCTAGTAACTTCAGTGTAGGTAGGGGAATGCGTGCCTCCCTCTCTCCTCCCCACTCAGCTGAGAGATCAGTAAAAGAGGTCAGTCAGGTCTCCTTCCCAGCACAGACACCCCAAGTTTACTCTGGCAGGAAGCCCATAACCAGCTGCACCACCCCAGTCCACACAACAAGATGTGTCCTGTCTCAGAGAAGCCATTTCTCTCTCAAGCTACTCCTGTAGGAAGAGCCACAAAAGGGCCGTGGACCCAGGTGATAACTGGAAGCTCAAGGATTAGAGTCTGAGAAGGAACTTACTGCTTCCCCCATGGTAGCTCAGCTCAGCTCTGCCTTCTACTACCTGCCAACCCGTCTGTACCCCAGCCCAGAGTCTGTTCCTTCCTAAGTAGTCTCTGGTCCTCGGGGCCCTGAAAACACAGCCACTAACCATAGAATCTTTTGGTCTAAGAAGAATAAAATGAGGACTGTCCTTCAGGGACGGATAGGGCTCCTTAAGAAAGCTCTAGCCTGGCCTAGAGAAAGCCTGAGGTTTCCAACAGTGCATGACGACACCTACAGTTATTACCTCAGCTCCTGGATTGGCTTGTCTAGTTTCTCTATGCAACGAGAAGGGTCTGAGGGTAGACCATTTGGGGCTATGCTTGGTTAAGGCATCTGGTTGTCAAAACTATGGGCATGGGGGTCCGGCATGAAATGTTTTCTGTTTCTCTAGAAGTGTTTTGGTTGGTGAGGTATGGTGGTGGCACGGTGGTGACATGGTGGTGATATGGCGTGTCTTAGAGCCTATGGAAGGAGGAAAATGACTCACAATGAAAAGTGAAGTGACTCTCTCAGTTCCTCTGGGAAGTGTGCATAACCTGAGGGGGCAGTGGGTCATCAGGGGTAAGGCTATGTAACTCTTTCTCTAACCTGTGTGTCTGGTTGACCGTTTCCATTCCCCAACCCAGAGTGCTGTGTGGTTCCTGGACTCTGACTTGCATGAGCAAGAATATTCCAAGCCTGGTCACAGGGCACATGACCTATGAACCAGGCTCTGCCTCGGGTTGCTTTGGGCAGAGTTAGTAGATGACAGGGATATATCACGCTATATTGACAACCGTAGTGTAAAGCATGTAACCAACCTGCCTCCGTTTAGTCTCCAACAGCCCCTCACAACATACGTAGAGGGGAAAACTTTTCTAACTATAGAAAGAAACTCAGCAAGCTCTCAGACATGACCTTCACCCTTGGGCAATGGTCCAGCGATCCCCCCAAACCCAGTCCTGTTCCAGAAATAAATTCGAAGTGAAGCTCTAACCTTACTTCGGCTTGCATTTTGCCCTTCTCCTTCTAGGACTAGGTGGGGGCAACGGCAGTCTCCCTGGAAAGAGGGGTCCTCAGCTCTTTCTCTTCCAGGGCCTTCTATGTGGGGCGCAAGGAAGGATGAGAGTTCTTTCTTGAATACGTTGCTGTCGACAGCAGACTTGGAGTTTCTAGACCTGACAGAACTTAAAGCTTATTCTTTCTCTGGTGATCTTTTTGATGATTTGGGGGAGTCCCCCCTCCATGTATTGGGGCTCACTTGCTTGAAATCTCCCAATATCCTTATTCAGGGGATCACTCGCAATTGGGTTTTTGTTTCCTTATTACTGATTTTTCTCCCTGCAGCTTTGGGCCTTTTTGCTCATCCCTCACGAATGAGTCTGCTTTGGGCCCAGCAAATACTCACATTTTGCTGTCCAAACAACTGTGTAATCAGAGGCAGTCCACCGGGCACCTTCTGGGTTTCCAAGGCTAGAGACCAGCTCCTGTCTACACTACCCCACACTAAACAGTCTTAAGGTCAAGGAACCAGCACTGACCCTCCCTTGGGAGAAGGGATTCAGAGCTCACCATACAGCTTTTTTCCAAAATCAGCTTTCTTACAAAATCTTTCCCCCACACTCTAACCACCTCTAACGTGGGAACCTTTCTTGTTCCATTTCCTTGGTAGATCCTGTATTTGGTCTGGTGTGTCAGCAGCAATAGTCACGCATTGTTGGAAACTTCAGTTGTAATATCTTGTTTATATATGCAAAGGCTATTAAAATAAAAGATCGCCTAAGTACTGTGTGAGTGGAATAGGAATTTAGGCCAGTTTGCTCATTCGCTTATGTACTCATTCAGAACACTCCAAGGTTAACCACTAAGCACCAAGTTCAAGGTCTAGCTGGCTCACAGCCCTTGGAGTTCTTGAATTCATAGGAGTCGCCCAGATGTATTTCTACATCTGTGAACCAGTTCCTGACCATGGACCCCACTTATTAATAACAGCACACTTCAGAAAATCCTTTCCTGAAGGAGTGAAATGTGGGCTGGTCCTTTGAGACAGTTCAGACTGAGGAGGTTTGAATACTTCACTTTGGAGATGTGAAGGAACTTGGTGTCTCTTGGGGTCATTTGGATGGGAGGGGTAGCCAGTGCTCATGGTTGAACGGAAGGAATCTGAGGATCAGGGCTTACTGCTAGATTTGTACAGGGCCTTGGCTGTGGAGATCAGAGCTTGGGGCCTCAGCTCCCACTGTGCCAAGCTTTCTAGATGGTAGCAAGGAATCTTGGAGAGATATTCTATCCTTTAGCGGAGCCATGACCCCTGAGACCATGGAGAGGTAGAGACATTGCTTGGGGTTCAGAAAGTGCACCTCTCATCTGATAATCCCGCCTCCCTTCCTCAAGGCTTCCCCATTGTTAGCTCAGAGGACAAAGGGAAATGCCTTTTTAATTTCTAGGAAGGGGATGGACTCTATCTGAATCCTTAGCCTGGGCCAGGAAGGTTGGCTTGAGATCTTAAAGCAGATAGCTGACCCTTTCTTTCCTCAGGAAACTTCAATAGCCTCTCCTGTTATCCTCCGTGTGGATCCCAAGGGCTACTACTTATACTGGACATATCAAAGTAAGGTAAGACTCTACCCAACATGGCCCTCAGCTCCAACCGATCCAACGAACTCTGCTAGACTCCTGGTAGTATAGGATGGAAACATGGATGCAGGAGATGCAGGAAGTGTAGCTCCTGGGGCTCTCCTATGGGCCGGGGAGGGAAGGTGCAGTCAGTCACCTCATTCCATGACTGGCCAGGGCCCGCCTAGTCCTGAGTTACCATCTCTTGGAGAGAGTGGGGAAAACAAGTTGCTGAGCTACTGATAGGGCCAGGTCATTTCAGAGCTCAGGGCTCAGAGGATCTGCACAGCCACTGAGAGAAACAGAAGAAGGCATGGGGGTGAGGGTGGGAGACTCCAGGATAAAAAACAGGCTGCAGGTTGCAGCTCTTATTCCAGGGAGGGGATGAAGAGTACTTCACCCTAAGTAGAGAGAAGCTGATGAGCAGGACGTGAAGGGAGGGATGCAGGAAGCCTGGAGCAGTCTTGGCATCTAGAGAAGGCAGCAGCTAGGATGTTAAGGGATGTGGAGAGCTCTCTCCCCTCTGAGTCATTATTCTCCACTTGACCCTCTTGTCCCCACCCTCCTTTGCTCCCACTGGGAACTGCTACCAGGAGATGGAGTTTCTGGATGTCACGAGCATCCGAGACACTCGCTTTGGGAAGTTTGCCAAGATACCCAAGGTAAGTGGACCCAGAAGCAGCCACTAGTTGCAGAGGGCAAGGAGTGAGTCTCTGCTGGTGTTAGGGCGTCTGTCTGTGAAACCAGATGAGTGGGTCCTAGGCTGCTAGGCAGCAAGGATGCAAGCTCGGGCCAAGGAAGGCTGGTATGGTGGCTGCTGCTCGACTTGCCTGGATTCTGACCCTGGGAATTCCTGCCCCTAAGTATGCCAGACTGTCTGGAAAGTGTCTTCTACCCCTTGCTCCCACTCCTTGGTGATGCTTTGCCTACATTTGCCTAAAGCTTGTGAGAAGATTGAAGGTACTGAGAGTTGGAAGCAGGATTCCCTGAGTTAGGAGCTAAGAGTCTATCTTCAAACAAAATTCCCAGGATTCCCAGATCCCTCTGCCTTAGCCAAGCTCTTCCCATGGGCCTCTCCTTCCCATGGCAGTTGCTGCAGCCAGAAACAGGGGGATGCTGAGGCCTGTGGTTCCATGGTCCCTAGGTTCCATGGCCATTCTGCCTCAGTGGCTGGCAGTTCAAGTGGCTGATGAGGAGATACAGGAAAAGACACATTGGGCAAGACTAAGAGCATACCTCTGACTTACTGTGTCACTGTTTCCTACAGAGCCAGAAACTCCGGGAGGTCTTTAACATGGACTTTCCAGACAACCACTTCCTGTTGAAAACACTCACAGTGGTATCCGGCCCTGACATGGTGGACCTCACCTTCCACAACTTTGTCTCTTACAAGGAGAATGTAGGCAAGGTGCATTGGCAACACCTGGATAGAGTGTTGACCCTTGGGAGAGCCTGACCTTCCTGAGAGTCATAGGCCTGGACCAAGGGGCTCAGGTGGCCACGTGGTCAGGAACTTGACTTCTGGGCTCTGTGTTCTATAGGACTGGGCTGAGGATGTCCTGGCTCTCGCCAAACACCCAATGACAGCCAATGCTCCCCGAAGCACATTCCTGGACAAGATGTAAGTGCCGATTTCCCCGTTGTCCCTGGCCTCCCCCCTTCCCCGCCTGAGCTCAAAGGGTTGGCTTCCCAGCCCCCAGACTGATGGGATACTGTCCACCCCTCCAGCCTGGTGAAGCTTAAAATGCAGCTCAATCCTGAAGGAAAAATTCCTGTGAAGAAGTGAGTCTCCTGAACTTGCTCCAACCTGCCCACCCAGCTCCCCAAGCCCTTCCTCCCTAGGCATGACTCCTCCACTGCCTGGTACCTTTCCTTGTTCCCTCAGTTTTTTCCAGATGTTTCCTGCCGATCGCAAACGTGTAGAAGCTGCCCTCAGTGCCTGTCACCTTGCAAAAGGCAAGGTGAGCAGTTCTCCAGCCCCAGCCAACTCTGCTAACCCTCATTGCCACCAGAGCAAACATGGCGGGGGAGACTGATGGCAGAGATGGCATTGCTGTCCCACAGCTCCCAAAGCCAATTAAACAGAAGCTCTGGTTACTGACACTAGGCCTAAAGGTGGGACCAGGGCGAGGGAGTGTGCAGGGTAGGAGGCAGTGTTGGGGAGGACAGCAGCAGACATGGCAAGCCTTCCTATCCTAGCCTTGGGCATAGGAGTTCGATGTTTTCATTGTGGGGGATCAGGATAGGGACATCAGGACAGGAGGCAGACCACAGGGTCTGAGAGCTCCAGGAAAGGACTAATTCTGCTGGGTGTTGGGGAGAGGGGCAGAGCCAAGAGTGGAAGCTGCCAGGGCACAGACTTTGGCTCAATTCAGAAACACATTCTCCACTTCTTTTTAATTAAGCAATTAATTTTTAATTACAAATCAGAAGCAGGGTCACCCCATGAGATGTCTTCTGTGATTTACCAAAAAAAGAGCTCTCTGGGTAGATACGACCCAGAGCCAAGGTCCAGGCCTGGTTTGGGGATGGTGTTGGATCTCAGACCTTTTTTCCCCTTGGCCAGTGCCCTTGTGTAAGTACAAGCCTCACCCCATGATGCATTTCTCCTGGTAAGAATTTAGGACACCAGAAATGAGTGAAACTAAGTCTCCAAGCAGCTCTCCTCATGAACCACACAAGGGATGCTCCCCCAGGACCAGCTTTTGTAGCACTGGTGATCCCAAGTGTAGCCAGAGACACTGGATCCAAGCATGAGGCAGGGAGATGGTGGACTGGGCTCCTGAGGTGGTCCTTACAGTTCAGACTGCCTGCCTGCCTGCTTCTAGTAACAGCCGCCCACTTTCTCTCCTGAGCTTATTCCTAGCTGGGTCCTTGTCTGCTTCCCCGGTGTCCCAGTAAAAGCCACAGCCAACTTCAGAGACAGAGTTGGGCTGGGGAAGATCTAGCCATGTTCTCCTGCTCAGACCTTCATCCCCCAAGACTCATGTTGATCCTACAGTGTGTCCTGAATAGTGTTGAACGCTTTGTTTTCTGGAGGAACAAAATGAAAAGCACAGAATCCCTATATACTGTCTAATTTCTTTTTCTATTTCTATAGAATTATATACTCTGGACTCATACAGTCCGTGGTCTTTTATATTGAGCTTTTGTCACTCAACATTGTATTTTCCAGATTCATCCATGTGGTAGCATCAGTACTTCATATATATGTGTGTGTATATGTATAATACAGACATATATGTATATACACATATATGTATATATACATACATATATATGGAGTATATTATATATCAGTTATATATAATATGTATATTAAGATAGCAGTTATCATATTCCATGTTGATAGATACTTGGCTTCTCTCCACTTTTTTACTATAATGCTTGTACAAGCATTTTGTCATGGTTTTGCTGTCAGTCTTCTTGGCTATATATACAGATGAAATTGTTTGTATGACTATACGGTGATTCTATGTTTTCCATTTTGAGGAACTGACAAACTGTTCTCTCAAGTGACTGCCACAATTTACTCTCCTGCTAGCATGCACGAGGGTTCCCATGTTCCTATGGCCCATCAACATTGCTACAGTCTGTCGTTTCTTTATGCTGTCCTAGTGGGAATGAGATGGTATCTCATCTTGATTTTAATTTGCATTTGCTTAATAACTAATGATAGTGAATTCTTTCATGTACTTATTTATCATTTCTGTATCTCCTTTACAGAAACACCATTTCTAATTCGTTGTCTTTCACTTCTTTTTGTGTGTGTGCATGTGTATTTGTGGTGTATGTATGTGTGTGCATGAGTTTGTACATGTGTGGAGGCTGAAGGTCGATGTCAGAAGTCTTTCCTCAATTACTCTCTATTTTATTTTTGAAAAGTTTATTTATTTTTTAATTACGTGCTTGTGTGTGCCTGTGTGTGGATATGTACATGTGACTGCAAGTGTCCTCAGGGGCCAGAGGTATCAGATCCCCTAGAGCTAGAATTGCAGGCACTTGTGAGCTGTCTGTTGTGAGTGCTGGGAATCGAACTCAGATCCTCTGCAAGGTCACTGTTGGCTTGCGTTCTTAACCGCTGAGCTATCTCTCCTGCTCCCATATCAGCGTTGGACTTTCACTAACCCTGGAGCTCATGTGTGGTGAGGATGGCTATCTCTCCTGCTCCCATTTCAGTGTTGGACTTTCACTAACCCTGGAGCTCATGTGTGGTGAGGATGGCTGGCAGTGAGCTTCAGGGATCCTCTTGTCTCTGTCCATTCCCAATGCTGGGGCTATAGACACATACCATGGAGACCAGCATTTATGTGGGTGCTGGGGATCTGATCTCAGGTCCTTACGCTTGCATACAGGTACTTGAACAACTAAGCCATCTTCCCAACCTTTGGACTATCTTTTTGTTGTTGGATTAACACTTAATGGGCAATGGATTGGAAAATATTTTATCTTATTTTGTGGATTGTCTATCCTCTCCCTCTCTCCCTTCTTCTTTCCCTCCCATCCTTAATTCCTTAGCTCAGGTTTGCCTTCAGCTTCTTCATGGTGTCCTTATAAGCATACATTTTGTTGTTGTTGATGATGGTGGTGGTTGGTTGGTTAGTTGGTTGGTTGGTTGTTTTTGCAAGACAAGATTTCTCTGTGTGTCCTTGGCTACCCTGGAACTCTCTTTGTAGACCAGGCTAGCCTCCAATTTACAGAGATCCACCTGCCTCTGCCTCTCAAGTACTCAAGTACTGGGGTTCGTCCACGTCAGGCGAATGCTCCTGGTGCGCCATCATATTTCTCCCTCCAGTTCTGTCAGCCTTTAGCTCTCACAGTCCAGGGCTCTACGTTTGTCTATATTCAAACTGATTCTTTAGAAAGTTTGTCTTTCACTTAAAGAAAAAAGAATAACAGCCCAGGATGCTGGCAGGCCAGTGGCACCCCTGCTTATGACACTCTGTCCTCTTCATTCTGCTCAGTCTTAGTCCCAATCTCGTTCCAAACCCGGAACAAGCCACTATCCAAAATCATCATCAGAGCACGCCAGCTAACCAGCCCTGCAGTCAGGCACCAAGCTCCCTGAGATGTGTCTGCCACCTGTCTGCCTCGAGTAACTCCTCTCTGATCAGGCCCCCCTTCCCCAGAGCCAGGCGTAGGTAGGTCGTGGTGGGTCTTAGTTCTGAGCAGGTGAGGTAGATGAATGACAACAAGGTGATGGTTCTTCCAGAATGATGCTATCAATCCCGAGGACTTCCCAGAATCTGTGTACAAGAGCTTCCTCATGAGCCTCTGTCCTCGGCCAGAAATCGATGAGATCTTCACTTCTTAGTGAGTTCTGTGGGCTGGGCATGGAGTGCTGGTAAGGGAGTGATTCCTTCCTTCCACTCGTCCTTTTGGGAATCACAGGGTTGTACAAGAGAAGAGGGTAGTCCAAGCCTCCGGGTCCAAAGGACATACACTGTGCCCCTCTCTCTGGCCTGCAGCCATGCTAAAGCTAAACCCTACATGACCAAGGAGCACCTGACCAAATTCATCAATCAGAAGCAGCGAGACCCTCGACTCAACTCCTTGCTGTTCCCACCAGCCCGGCCTGAGCAGGTGCAGGTGCTCATTGACAAGTACGAGCCCAGCGGCATCAATGTGCAGAGGGGTGAGGATCAAGGAAACCTACCTCCTGTAGTCCTGTCCCACCCCGGGGGCTGAGTTGCAGCCATGACTGCTTGCTGTCCACTGTCTTGCAGGCCAGCTGTCGCCAGAGGGCATGGTCTGGTTTCTCTGTGGACCAGAGAACAGTGTGTTGGCCCATGATACTCTGCTGACCCACCAAGACATGACACAGCCACTGAATCACTACTTCATCAACTCTTCACACAACACCTACCTGACAGGTGGGTCCTGGAGACCTCATGGGTCCTGCCCCCGAGCTCCGGATGCTTCATAGATGCTCCTCAACTACTGCTTGTCCTGCTGACAGGACAGACTATGAGGTAGTGAGGGGCCTGGCCTGACTGTGAGTGACATCCCTGTCCCTTCTCTCTATTGGTTCAGCTGGCCAGTTTTCAGGTCTTTCCTCGGCTGAGATGTACCGCCAGGTGCTGCTGTCTGGCTGCCGTTGTGTAGAGTTAGACTGTTGGAAGGGAAAGCCCCCCGACGAAGAGCCCATCATCACCCATGGCTTCACCATGACCACAGATATCTTGTTCAAGGTGGGTCTTGGGGCATGGAAGTGGATGACAGTGGCCATCAGAAAGGGCCTGGGGTGTTTTCTGGGTTTGGGAAGTGAAGCTGAAGGAGAGAAGCATCTGGAATACCTCAAGCTGTTGGGAGGCTACCGTGGCTATCTAGTTTTATGTGTATGCTGAGGCTAAGTAGTGGGGAGAAGTTGCCCTCTTTACAGAGTCCCTTTCTCCTCTAGGAAGCAATCGAAGCCATTGCAGAAAGTGCCTTTAAGACCTCCCCATATCCTGTCATCCTGTCATTTGAAAACCATGTGGACTCGTGCGTGTCCTGGCCTCTTCAGCCTCATTCTCTCCCTCTGCCCCAGCCTCTTGCCCGAATCCCCCTCACCCCCAACACACATATACTGTCCCCATCTCTAGGCATTCATTCCGTCTCCTTAGGACCTCAGCTTCTCCTTCCTCTCTTCCTACCTGCCCCACTTCCTGGGCCCCTGATCTGGGTCATCAGGGCAAGAGGTTGGCACCAACCCCTACCTGTACTTTGTTTCCTGCTAACAGACCCCGCCAACAGGCCAAGATGGCTGAGTACTGTAGGACCATGTTTGGAGAGACCTTGCTCACAGATCCGCTGGAAAACTTTCCTGTGAGTTCACAGTCTTGTTGGGCATCAGGAACCAGGTCAGCGGGACAGAGATACTTGAGTTTATTTGATAGATTGTGAGTCTGGGGTCCTGTCATCTACCATGTGTCATAGAGTATGCTAGAATTAGGGGTCTGCCCATGACAGAAATGAATGTTAGGCATGGCGGCACTTACATTTGAGAGGCTGCGGCAAGAAGATCTCAAGTTACATGCTAACCTGGGCTGCATACTGACACCCTATCTAAAGCAAGCAAGCAAACAAACAAACAAGCCAAAACAACAAACCCAATTGCCACAAGTGCTGTCCCAGGCTTCTGACCCACTTCATGAGGAGACAGACAACTGTCCAGGCCAACTACAGCCAGTGGTTGCTATGAGAGACAGTGCTCAGGAGTTAGACGATCAAGGAAGGCTTTCTGGAAGGGTGTGATGGGTAAGGTGAAATCTGGAAGATGACAGAGATTCAGTGACCATGTGAAAAGAGAGGTCTAATCAGAGGGAATGGGTGAAAGAGACATTCCTGCCAAGGAACAAGTGATTTCAGTCAAATCGGAATTCAAGACACAAGGGGCAGCGGTTGGAGGTGAGGCAACAACATAGGCCCACACCACGGGGACACACCACAGAGACACACCACAGGGGAGGCAATGGGACCCACCTCTTTCCTGTCTACAGCTGAAACCTGGCATCCCTCTGCCCAGCCCTGAGGACCTCCGGGGCAAGATCCTCATTAAGAATAAGAAGAACCAGTTTTCTGGGCCAGCCTCCTCCAGCAAAAAGCCTGGTGGGGTGGCCGAGGGCAGCTTCCCGTCTAGTGTCCCTGTAGAAGAGGACACAGGTGAGTGAGTAATGGGACTGGGTGGAGTTTGTGGAGAGCCAGGACTGACAATACTGAGTCTAGCAGGGTGGAGTGCTGAGGACCGGACTGAGGTGGAGGAGGAGGAGGTGGTGGTGGTGGAAGATGAGGAAGAAGAGGAGTCAGGAAGCCTGGATGAAGAAGAAATTAAGAAGATGCAGTCGGATGAGGTGTGTGGGGACACTCTGCTGTGCTACCTTCTAGGTGGACACGGGCTACCGTGTGGGCTCTGTATTATTCCATTCTCCACTCTCCCCTTGTCCTCTAGGGCACAGCAGGCTTGGAGGTGACAGCTTACGAGGAAATGTCCAGCCTTGTCAATTACATCCAGCCAACCAAGTTTATCTCCTTCGAGTTCTCTGCACGTATGTACGTTAGTATAGGATGGTTGGGGAGAGAGGGCAGGCCGGGTTCAGGAACAGGCTGTCCTGGTTCAAGAATGTCCTCGTGAGTGGGATGAAAGGAAGGGACCTGCTCCCTCTTGGACTAAGGGCCTTGTCTATAAATACCCAGCTTAGGAGTCAGACAAAGGGCTTATTTAAGTGACAGTGGCTCTCAGCATTGGACTGAAGAACTTGGCTGCAAACGGAATGTTCTGTTGTGTGTCAGTGACAGGCAGGTCGGTATGACAGGCCACCTCAGCCAGGCCTGTCTGGAGCTTCTGTAGTTTCCTAAGGTTTTGCATCTCTCAGGCCTGAACTCTATCAAGTGCTGCACCAAGACTAGGAGCCCCAGCCCGGGAGGAAGAGTTCCTGGGAGAGCACACCTTTAACCCTAGCATTCAGAGCCAGAAGCAGGCTGACCTCCGTGAATTAGAGGCCATGCTGGTCTACATAGCAAGTTCCAGAACAGTCAGAACTCTACATAGAGAGACCCTATCTGAAAGAGAGTATGGGGAGGGAAGAGAATTCCCATAAGGGGGCGGCAGGCAGAGCAGTTTCCAGAGGCTCACTTATCCCATCAGATCCTTCCTTTTTTGTGTGTCGCCATGACGTTTGTCCTGATCTTTTCAAGATGCCCTTGAGTGCATTTCCCACTCTGTGTGCCTCCTCAACATGAGTACCTTTCTGAACATTCTTGTGCAGGTGAATCTCTGAAACACTGACTCCCCATATCTGAATTCCCAACCCGCTCTGCTACCTAGGCACACCCAGGATACGTTTGGAGGGTATGGGGTACTAACCTTATTATACAGCTTCCTCTGCACTTGCCGATTGCTTGCACATTTCACTCCCTGTAAACATCACTGCCTGAGTATCCTTAAGGTTTCACCAGCCACCATCCCCTGCCTGGAGGCTTGCAGGAAGGGCTGGGGTCCTGCCAATGGCCTTGGCCAACACCTATACTCAGGTACAGCTATAGCAAACAATATGTGAGCTTCGTGTGTCCCATACACATAGTCTCTTCCAACTACATGCCCCAGCTGTTCTCTCACCAGGTGTGTATACCACATGTTCCTGATACCCTGGACTCAGCCTCATATGTCCGCCATACCCTACATGCCTATCCATGGCATATGGTCCTCACCCTTTCCCACCATGATGCAGGTTCCCTCCCTCTGCATGTCCGCCATGAAGTCTCTTTATCCCAGTACATTCCTCTCAAATCTGGCTGCTAGACCTTCAGACCTCAACAGAATCCTAGGTTGGAAGCAGCTCTCTATAGAGGAAAGTTACCCAAAAGGAAGGCAGGGCTGAGAGAGGGGGCAGCCTGATGTGGACTCCCCTCCCTTTCGCCCTTGCACAGAGAAGAACAGAAGTTACGTTGTCTCTTCCTTCACGGAGCTCAAGGCCTATGAGCTGCTCTCCAAGGCCTCCATGCAGTTTGTGGAGTATCCTTGAGGCTTTGCCAGACAAGGTCCCTGGTGGGTGCGGTTTGGGGGAGGGTCTGGGCTCCTCCTGGTACAAGTGGCCTTGGCTACCTCCTATACTCAGCAACAGCTATAATAAACGCCAGATGAGCCGTGTGTACCCGAAGGGCACACGCATGGACTCTTCCAACTTCATGCCCCAGATGTTCTGGAATGCTGGATGTCAGATGGTTGCCCTCAATTTCCAGACAATGGGTAAGGGCACTTCCAAAATAAGAGAGCCCCCTCTGGGCCCTGCATTCCCAGACACCCCTAGCCCAAACCCTCCTCTGGGCCCTGCTTATCCTATCTTTACTCCTCCCTGGATAAAGAGCTTTGATGCCTACTGGAAGTGATGTTTGTGTAAGCTCTGGGAGCATACCCTGGTATTGGGAGCACTTTGGGAAGGGGCTCATTCCCTCATGCTTGTTCAGCTGTTCATATATTGGAGCATACATAAGACACAAAGGCTGGCATGGATGCTCTGGTTGGATGTCACATCTGTACCAGCTATCCCGAATCCTCTGTGAATTTGCAGCCTGGTCTACCATTACTCCTTGCTGACTCTAGGTTGAAGACCCTTCCTGAAAGGCTAGGTACTCCCAAAGGTCTGGGATGGGACATGTGAAACTCTCATTCGACCCAAACTCACCCATTCCCCACTCCCAAAAAAAAAAGCTTGAAAGTATTGCAAAGAGACTGAATCTCGATCCAGGTTGCACCATCCTCACCGCATCCTCTCGTCCCCCAGACCTGCCCATGCAGCAGAACATGGCACTGTTTGAATTCAATGGGCAGAGTGGCTACCTCCTAAAGCACGAGTTCATGCGCAGGCTGGACAAGCAGTTCAACCCCTTCTCCGTGGACCGCATTGATGTGGTGGTAGCCACCACCCTCTCCATTACGGTAAGGCCCAGGGTTGACAAGTAGCTGGGAGGGCTGGGCTCTTGAGAGAAAGGCCAAGAAACCCACCCTCTACCTCAGCCCCCTTTCCTGATACCTTGAAGACTTCAGCCCCAGCCAGTTCCTGCAGTAGCAAGTTGCCTTGGAAACTGCCTCCTCCTCAGCACTGGAGTCTGCCTCTTGGTCCCCATGGAAACCAAGGGGAAGGGCTGAGACTCTAGTGGGGGAGGGGAGAAGGAGTCTGGGCCATGCTGGGCAGCAGGAGCCCAGGCTTCAGACCAGGGGGTAAACGTTTGTTGCTCCTTTCTTGTCTGGGTGAAGTGTGGGTGGCCTGCCTCTCCTGAGTCCTGGAAGCACTCAGGTCCTTAGAGCTTGCCTGTAAATCTTGCGTCACACCGCTGCTATTTGATGGCCAGTGCTGAAGGGGGAACTTTACAATACCTACAGCAGATACTTAGCCTATGGAGACAGAAGCCCCACGGGCTTAGGAATCAACGGGAGTGAGATATCTAATGCTGGCCTCCCCTGGGTTCTCACCCTTAGGTCATCTCTGGGCAGTTCCTGTCAGAGCGCAGTGTGCGCACCTATGTGGAAGTAGAGCTGTTCGGCCTCCCAGGGGACCCTAAAAGGCGCTATCGTACCAAGCTGTCACCTACTGCTAACTCCATCAATCCTGTCTGGAAAGAGGAACCCTTCATCTTTGAGAAGGTACTAGGGATGGGGCCAACACTGGTATCTGTCCCTAGTTCTTTGCCTGTCCCTGGTATGCCTTACTATATTTAGAAGTCCCAAACTCAAGTTCACAAGGTTTGTGTACGTGTGTGTGTGTGTGTGTGTGTGTGTGTACATATTAGGATTAGAAATAGAAACATGAACTCTCAGCCCAGAAGCTAGGGGATGATGGGAGAGTTCTTTGTCTCTTTGGACACTGGTTGGCAAAGCTGCCAAGGGCTATTTGCATGGGCTCACTGTCCTGGGCTGTACATCAAGTCCATTTTCCCATGTGAGTCTGGCTCAAAATGGAAGATGCTTGTACGTACCATAGGGCATTGCTCCTGCCTATCCTTACCAAATCTAGCAGTACCTGCCATGGTCTCATCCTGGCACTGAGTGAGACTTCTGGAGTCAAGGGGAAGGGCTGCTTGTCTCCCCTGACCCCTGTCTGTTCCTCAGACTCCGTTGTCCTAAACTACTGTAGATCTTGGTACCTGAGCTAGCCTCCCTCAGAATAGCTGTGATGGAAGAAGGCAGTAAATTTCTTGGACACCGGATCATCCCCATCAATGCCTTACATTCTGGTAAGGAATTGAGGGTCTTAACTACTTGCAAAGAGTCTGAGACAAGACCAGCATCCTGTCTGGGGCGGGAGTGGCATTCGGGCAGGGTCTCTGAGGCCTCAGCATCCTCCCTCAGGTTATCAGCTTATCTGGGACAGGAATAGACTTTCTCCAGGAACCTGACTGGTGGGAACTCTGCCCACCTAACAGAATGCCCATGATCTTCTGGAGTCACTGTTACAGATTCCTGAGCAGCTGGCATCTCTGGGCACTTAGAATGTGTGAGAGGAGCTGTGAGATGGCTCAGCGGGTAGAGACACTTGCCGCTAAGGCTAATGATCCGAGTTTGACCCTAGACGCCACATGGTGCAAGAGAGAGAACCAGTTCCCACAAGCTGTCCTCTGACCTCTGCATGTGCACGCGCACACACGCAGAGTAGATAAATTAAAATATAATAAAAAAGGTGTGAAGAGCTTATAACACATCCTCATAATAAACACACACGGCAGATAGCTGAGGAGTTAACCTAGTGATAACCTAACCTGCCCAAAGCCACACAGTAGGAAAGCACAGTGTTAGACTTACAACCCTGGTCTTTGACTCTAAAGCCAGAAGTCCTAAGTACTTGTTTGTGCTGTGGTGCTGAGCAGGAGTGGGCTCTGGCTTACTCTCCACCTCACCATGTTCCACAGGATACCACCATCTGTGCTTGCGCAGTGAGAGCAACATGCCCCTCACCATGCCTGCTCTCTTCGTCTTCCTGGAGATGAAGGACTACGTACCTGACACGTGGGCAGGTAGGAGACCTGTGCCTGGTCCCAAGCTGTCCACTCCCTCTCGATTCATTAAGCCGGTATCTGAAATGGAACGTGAAAGGGTGGTAGGTGAATCCTTCTCGGCCTTAAACTCCATCCGCACCGCACCGGTCATACCCTGTGCTTCCCAGACCTCACTGTGGCCCTTGCCAACCCGATCAAGTACTTCAGTGCCCATGATAAGAAGTCCGTGAAGCTCAAGGAAGTGACCGGAAGTCTGCCTGAGGTGTGTGTTGCCTGGACCACTGCCAGAACCCTCCACGAGCTGTGGAATGAGTGGGGAGGGGCGGAGTCCCCTACTCAGGGAACATCTTGTTAGAGCCACCATTCTAACAGGCCACCCTCACACAGAAGCCCTTCTCCTCTGGGGTTCCTGTTGCCAGCCAGTCCAATGGGGCTCCAGTCTCAGCAGGCAATGGATCAACAGGTAGGTAGTTCTGGTCCACCTGCCTAGAGGATAGCTCTGCCCCTCTCCCACCAAAAGACTAACACTTTCATCCGGGGAGAGAAAATCTGAATCTGAAGCCTCAACACTAGGAAACCCGGGGGAGTTGCAGAGGGCTTTAACTACAACCCTGCAGGAACCAAACTGAGGTGCCTCTAAGGCACCTGACAGCCCAGCTCTGTGCTCTTACAGTACCTGGGACCAAGGCCAAGGAGGAAGCCAGGAAAGAAGTGGCAGGTAAGGCCTGCTGAGTCATGTGATCATGGGGCAGAATCAGAAAGGAGGGCCTGGGACTTTCCGGGGAGGATGCTCTGGATGGCATGGCACCTCAGCCATGCCTCTGCAGAACCACAGACCGCCAGCTTAGAAGAGCTGCGGGAGCTGAAGGGCGTGGTGAAGCTGCAGCGGAGACACGAGAAGGAGCTCCGAGAGCTCGAGCGGCGTGGAGCCCGGCGCTGGGAGGAGCTGCTGCAGCGTGGCGCTGCACAGCTGGCGGAGCTCCAGGCCCCAGCAGCAGGCTGCAAGATCCGCCCGGGCAAGGGCTCCCGCAAGAAGAGGTAAGGGCATCAGTGGTACCCTGCCCTCCCCAAGAGTAGTGGCGCCTGGTTCAGGGCCTGTGCCCTCGTGGCTTCCGCAGGACCCTGCCCTGTGAGGAGACCATCGTGGCGCCTAGTGAGCTCCCCGAGGGAGCGGACCCGCGCGTGCAGGAGCTGAAGGACAGGCTGGAGCAGGAGCTGCAGCAGCAAGGCGAGGAGCAGTACCGCTCTGTCCTCAAACGCAAGGAGCAGCACGTGACCGAGGTGTGGGACAACAGCGGCTGCAGCAGCCAACCCCACCCCTTTTACACAGCCAAGGGCTTCTCACTAAGCTAAGCTTGTCCTTCTTCCTCCTTCGCAGCAAATCGCCAAGATGATGGAGCTGGCCAGAGAGAAACAGGCTGCTGAACTCAAGACCTTCAAGGAGACCTCAGAAATGTAAAGTCACCCTTCTTGTCTGCCTGCTCCTACCTCCAGCCAAAGGCCATGGTCTACAGAATATCTCCTCCTTGTCTGTCCGCAGTGACACCAAAGAGATGAAGAAAAAACTGGAGGCCAAGAGGCTGGAACGGATCCAAGCCATGACCAAAGTCACCACAGACAAGATGGCCCAGGAGAGGTAAACCCTGAAGGGGAGACCCATGTGAGCAGACCGTACTCCAGCTGGAAGAGGGTCACCCTACAAGAGCTCCTAACTTGATTCCAGCAGATCTGCCTCTGTCTTAACCCTTCACAAGTTGGTTCCTTTGCTGTCTCTCTCAGAGTCTCCCTTGATCAAACCCCAGATGCTAACACTGCTTAAGGAGAGAGGAGCAATGGAAGGAAAACCATGCACAAAGAGAGGGAGATGGAGCCTAGGGGTAGCAGCCTGTCCCCTTAGATGTCTGCACTCTCCACTGAGCCCACCCTGGATGCCTTTCTGTCGGAGTGTTTTAATGAGGACGTGAACCCAGGGCTCCCAAATACCTCTTCTCCATCTTCCATGTTGGTCTCTCTGCTCCTTCCTGCTTCAGTGATGGAATTCTTATTTGTAAGAATAATAATTTATTGACTCTGTCCCTTTATAAAACTCTAAATCTATCAACAGGCTCAAGAGAGAAATTAACACCTCCCACATCCAGGAAGTGGTCCAGGCTGTCAAGCAGGTATGCAGGGCTGTGTCCTTCACAATCATTTTCTCCGTAAGTATGTGTGGGGATGTGAGTGTCTGATAGCAGGCTGTCCAGAAGTGTCCATGCAGCTAGGAATCGGAGGAACTATCCCAAGGTTCTGGCCTGTGGGTGGAGCCAGCCAGCCTGAAGGGAACTGTCTGGGAAACATGAGTTAACAGGTCGTAGAAGGATGGGATTGGATGGGACAGGAGAGGAAGGCTTCCTGGGGCACCATGGAATGAAAAGAGGAAGGGAAACACTACTGAGAATGGACCGAAAGCTCCTTCCCTGGGCATTGCTAGCCACAGTAACAGACCTACTGTGGCCTGACCTTGTGTCAGACACTATGACAAGTGCTTCCTGTGGACCAGACATGTGATCCTTCACAATCCCGAGCCAAGTGTGATTACCTCATTTTACACATTGTAAAAGCTGCCCAGAGGTTAAGGAATTTGCCCCAAGTCTCACTGCTGGTTAGCTGAGATTAGAGCTAGAGTCCAGTCTTTATGTGGCTTGCCTATCTACCTGATTCTCTATCTCTTACCTGCACCTAGATGACAGAGACCCTGGAGCGTCACCAGGAGAAGCTGGAAGAGAGGCAGACAGCTTGCTTGGAGCAGATTCAGGAGATGGAAAAGCAGGTGAGAAGATCTTTGTCCTGGTCCCAGTGGGGCTAAATGGGTGGAAAGGGGCCCAACCCCAGGGACATCACACAAGAGGTCAGGGAAGGGTCCATCACCAACCCCAGGGACACCACACAAGAGGTCAGGGAAGGGTCAATCACACCTCACCAGTGGGTCACAGGCAGGTTCTCATGGTGTCCCAAGGCCCTTTCAAATGAGATGCCTCTACAGATTTCTTTGCTTGATGTTTCTCCTGGAAGGTTCTGATGAACTTCTCTCTCTATCTCTTACCCCAGTCTCCTGGAAGTCCTGAATAGAATGAGAATCTTAGTATTCTGTAGTCCAGGGCAGGCAGGGTCCCCTCCTGAGCCTGGTAATGGTCCCTGCTGTCCCTACAGTTCCAGGAGAAGGCTCTGGCTGAGTATGAGGCCAAGATGAAGGGCCTGGAGGCTGAAGTAAAGGAGTCAGTGCGGGCCTACTTCAAGGTCGGCTTCCCCGCTGAAGCAGAAGACAAGCCTGAGAAGCCCTGTGCGGCCTCTGAGGAGTCGTGTCCAGAGGAACCACTTGTGAACAAGGCAGACATTCAGGAGAGCCGCCTCTGATGCCAGCATCTCACTTTGACATTTTAGCAAGGATATCCACACCCTTCTCTGGAACATGGTCCCATTTCCCAGCGGAAAAGGACCTTAATACTCTGGGGCTGTGGGAGCCTGGGGCTGCCTTGGCTGCTGTGGCCCCCCTTCTCAGACAGATAAGGCAGAAATAAGAGACTATCAGGGCAAGAGTCCCCATGGAACCTGAATCTTTTCTAAGATGGCTTCTTCTGTCTATCCCACCTGTAGTGCCATGAACTCATTGAAGGCAAAGGAATATGGACTAAGAGAGAGGAAATTGGGCCCTGGCCTCCCCTCTGCCTTTCCTGACTTACAAGCAGGGGCTCTCCACTTGGAGCTCAGTTCTCTCCTGGACGCTTGGCTTTGCACCCTGGAACCTTCACTCTTGTGGACATGGCTCCAGCAGGACCAGGCCTCCTGCCTTGATGCTTGCCTTGATGCAGTACCTTACACAGGCTTCTAGGCTGCATCTTCGGCTGCCCTGAGTACAGAGCATTGCTAACTTCTTAAGGAAGAGCCTGGCACTGCCTCGGAGCTCTCTGGGAATGGCTACTTCCAGAATGGCAGCAAAGGCCCCTGCCCTCACCTCTTGCTTATGGGGATAGATGGCTACATGGGGAAGCTTTCTCCGCTGCCCCTTGATTGATCAAGTACTGGGGGCTTGGGGCTATGCCTGCTGACAAAGGGAGACTAGCTTCTCATGTGCTCTCTCTCCAACTCTGAAATTGGTTCACTCTCTTTTCTGGATCTGGGTCTGGCACTTCCTAGCAGGTGTGCCACCAGTATTAGGTCAGGGCTTGAGTTCATCATCATTTTCTTTACTGGATTTATATGGTTTATTTATTTTTCTCCTTCCTACCAAACCCAGAATCTCCCGCCTTAGACTGGCCTCTATTCTCCAGTTAGGAAAAGACAAAGGGAAGTGGAAGGCCTCTGAAGTGAATGGGTACCTTGGGAGCTGCAGGAAGGGCAAAGGCCTTTCTGGGGCCCTGTCAAATTGCCCTGCCTCTGGCTTCTCTGTCTGCTGGCCCTGATGGCAGAACCCTTAGAAGATGATGTTACTCTCTCTTCTCCACACCCCCACAGATGTGCCCTTCCCTTGTTTCCCCTGACCAGGACTGGAGCAGAAGATTCCAGTACAAAAGTGCACCCACCCTCTTGGTAAACCCAAACCTTTGAGTTGTCTGGGTCTCTTTAGGAACACCTAGCGTGACCACACATACAGGGACCTGACCCTGCTGTGGTTGATTCCAATAAACTTTCTGGAGGCATAGCTTGTGGGCCACACCTCCAGCTCAGTCTCAAATCCCAAATGGGCTGGCAGGGTGGGGTGATGCTGGGAAAAGGTTGTTTTCTTATCAGAGAGTTACAGCAGATGCCATTAGCTGTGAACACCTGTGGCTTTGGAAAATGAACAGGGACACCCATCCCTCTCAGGGCCTGACCTCAGGGGTCCCTACCTGTCCCAGCCACAGAGAAAAGCTAAGGCATGTTCATTCATACATCTAAAGCCTAGCTTTTGACAGCCAGCCTCCCTGCCATAGCCACACTGGACACCATTAGGGTTGGACATCCATACCCCGAGGCAATGCCCTGACCTCAACCCATTCCCAGAAAGCCGATTTTGCCCTTCTCTCCTACCTCCTGGGGATGCAACTCTGTGGAAATGAGGATCCAGACTGAGGGGAACTCACTGAGCCAGGTACATGGGCCTCAGTCAGAGCTAACAGGGCCCCACTGGGCAGTGGATACCCATGAACCCTCAGGAAAGCCTGCCTTCAGTTCTCCTCTTGCCAGGTCAGGATGCAGCTGAGCAAATGGGAAGGGGTTGCAATCCTGCCTTCGGAAGGGGCCTCTGAATAGTGTCTCTGGCAGTCTGGATACCCACTTGCTTGCTTTCAGTCTGATGCCCAAAATGGCTGGTTTGAAACCCTGGAGATAGGTTAATCTGTGGCCACAGGGGAAGTACATAGGAAGAGTTGATGCCCTCCCTTGGGCACAGGGCACTGGACAGGTAAAAGACACCTGGGTTCCATCGCTGTTGTGCCATAGGGCCAGGTTCCCTCTTCACTCATGATTTCCATTAGCATTTGACATGGGGAAGGGTCCTCACCCCTTAGGAGTCCCATGGTTGACTCAGTACCAGATCCTCTGCTGACTCACACCCCCCCTCCGCACACCCTCCCCTCCCAGCTCCCTGCAGCTCCAAGGCACGTGCCACTAGACTCACCCTGAGGAGCTAGCAAGTGCAATGTGACAGGGTGAGGGGGCTGGTGACACTTGAAGAGGAAAGGAGGGGGTGGGGAGGGGCAGTTACAGACAGACAGACTTGCAAACTGAGGCGCCTCTGGGAGGAAGCCCTCTTGCCAACCTGGGGACAGCAGGAGAAGAAGCTGGGCAGGTGGGAGGGCAGGAGAGTGAAGTGCCTGCCTGCCCCCTGCCTGCATAGCTCCTTCTCCTGTCAGCCTGCAGCTCCCTAAACGACAGCTTCTAATTCCGGCTGTTGGAGCCTCTGTGCTCCACAGTGAAGCTTTTTTTTCTTCCCCCAGCTTTGCTGTTTCTTTTCTGTTCAGAACACAGTGAGCCCAAGGAAGAAAGTCAGAGCAAAGGCTCTAGGTTCTGAGCCCTGGGAATCACTGCCCATCTGGGAACTCAGCACAGACCAAGTGAGGCTCTGAAGACTGGACCAATTTTTCCACTATTCCCTCCCCCCCCACCCACAAATACATTGTTTCCTTCCACCATAGGCAATAGGGGCACAGGCAAAGCTGAGCTGGCTCAGGGAGGCTCTTGGGAGGAGGGGGTTGGCCAACAGCCTCTTCTCCGGGGTTTGGTGCTTTTCTTCTTAGAGGTACACAGCCTAACCTACCTCTTGAACCTGAAGGCAGACAGAAGGGAAGAAAGGATTTTCTCTCATGATGCAGACAGGGAAAACTGAGTCCTAAAGGGATAAAAGCCATTCTTCTGCTGAAGAAAGAGGGGGAGCGTCCCTGTTCCCTTCCTGGGAGTAGAGAGTGTCACCTGGTCATTGATGGGACGAACTTTGAGGACCCTCTAAGTGACACTTCTCCAACACTGGCTCCCTGATCTTGTGTGGTGCAGGCTGAGTCTCTGCTTCCTCTTACAGACAGGAATGTGCAGCCGTGGGGTGACACTGCCAGTATATGACACAGGCTGAGACCTGACTCTCCTGCCAAGAATCATGTGGGGGCTCACTTCACCGACTGTGCACTTAGTAATATGCCTCACAGGACAAAGGGGAGTGTGAGTCCCTGTTGTAGGGTCTAGCCTGAATCCTCTCCTAAGCCATCCTGGAGCCTAAGTGTTCCAGAAGGCAGGGATGCTCCAGGGCCTCCTCTGCCCCCACCCCTCACTCAGCAAGAACACTCCTCACAGTATCCTCAGGAGTGTCCTGCAAGGCAGCTTGCTCTTCCCAGACGGAACACCTCCTCAGTTCTTCACCGAGCTTCCTTTCTCTTACAACATAGGACCCCTGAACACAACCCTCAAAATGGTGTCTGTCGGGTGTCCCCTGTAAACCTCTGTGTGGACTATCTTCCTTGATTCTTAGTCAGTGTCACTCATCCTTAAAGGACCATCTCTGCCACTGCCTTCAGAAGACCTCAGTTCTCTCTTCTTCCCATCATTTGCCCTTCCTTCCACTGGTTGTCTGAGTTTTATATTTAGCAGATGTTGTCAGTCCTGGGTTTGTCTTCCTGAGGGAGAAGACAAATCTCGTTCATTCAGAATTCAGTTTGTGCATCTGTGTTTCCCATTGCTGGAAACATAACGATAGGGTCTCATGTAGCCCAGGCTGGCCTCAACCTCAGTATGTAGCTGAGGATGATCTTGGAACTTCTGATCCTCCTGCCTCCATCTCTCAAGTGCTGGGGTGCTAGTGTGCAGCACCGCACCTGGTTTCATCCTGGGATTCAAACCAATTGTGTATATTAGACAAATGCTCTACCAGCTGAGAAAAGTCCCTAGCCCTTCACTCACTCTACAGATAAATTCCATTCCAACTATCCTCAAACCCTCTAGACCTGGGAGCTTGTGGGGCAGTCATTGTAAGACTCAGCGGAGGCCTTCAGTATCACCCCTTCCTAGCGCCCATGAGCTGATTGTCCATAGGAAGAGGATGTCCAGTGGGTTTTCCACACATCTGATGGGGGGGAAAAATGGGTCTCAGGCTCTCTCCTCTCTTTAGGGGTCAGGCCTACAGCTCTGTGGCCTAGAGATGGTTTTGTGCTCAAGAGAACTCAGCTCTGTCGGGGGAATTCTTGCTTATGTCTTTTTCCTTTCCTGGACCCTATCTCTAGCTCATCTTTGAGGGGATAGGATGTAATGCCTGGAGAGTCCTAATGCCTGCACACCCTAAGGCATCTGCCCTGGGTCACAGCGGCCAGCGTCTAGTCAACTTGCTCCACAGCGACCGACCAACAGTAGAGCTGGCACGCGGGAGCGCTGTCAGGCTTGGAGACGTCTGAAATTGGAGAATGCGCCCCCGCCCTGCTCTGAGTGAGCGTGTGCGGGAGGCACAATTGTGTGTGGCTGTGATTCGCTGCACTTTAGATGGTAGTTACCTGCCAGACTGAGCGTCCTAGTCCGGAGCGCAAATGCCTCATACCCCAAATTACTACTCTTCTGTCTCTCGCCTGCCTCAAGCTCGTGCACTGTCCAGTTCTGTCCTGATGGGATCCCAGTCCCTTTAACCTAGAACCGATGGCAGGAGCTCCCGCCAGTTTCTAAGCAGCCGAGGCTACCGATTCTGGCGGAGGCGGGGGGCGGGGAAAGAAGACTGAGACTTTAGGATTGGCCCCGCCGGGTGCATGTGGCCCCGGGCGAGCAGCCTCCGCCCCCGCCCTGCAACCGCCGCCGCATTCCCAGGGGAGCGCGGAGGAGGAGCCGCTCCCCAACTTCGTGGCCCACGAAAGGGTGGGGGTCAGGGGCGGTCTCCCTCTCCCTGTCCGTCTGCCCTGAAGGTGCAGCCTGCTTCCAGAGCAGCCATTGCCATGGAGACCCCCGAAGCTATAAAGCCAGGTATCTAGGCGTGGAGCACCTCACGAGCCGCTGAGCCCCCCAAGTAAAAAAGCAAGCGTCCCAGCCCCCGCAAGAGAGGAGGAGGCGGGGAGAGGCTCCGGGAGCTGGAGGAGCGGTGCTCCCCGCCGAGGCAGGAGACAGGCGCGCCAGGCGGGAGCCACCCGCTCAGCAGGGGAGCAGGGGCTGCCCGGGGTGTCGGTGAGTGGCGCAGCTCCAAGCCACGAGGGACCAAGGGGCGTCGGATACGGGGAAGAGGGCCCAAGAGTTGAGGAGTCCGCGCTTGAGCGGGAGTCGGGAGCAACAAGCAGCCCACACATCCAGGCGGGGAGGGGGGGCCCAGGGAGGAAAAGTAAGACACCCCGGGAGCGGCGAGGCAGCTGAGCAGCAGGGAGACCTGAGCGAGAACTGCAGGACACTCGGCTGCAGCCACCTACGCGCCGTGCGGAAAGAGCGGTACCGGTGTCCGGGCCGGGGCCGTAGCCCCGTGGGGTGAGGGAACAGGGGCGCCCCCGCGCGGAGCTGTCGGACTTCCGGGGCCCCGGCCGCCGGAGCCATGCTCAAGCCCAAGGACCTGTGCCCCCGAGCGGGTACGCGCACCTTCCTTGAGGCCATGCAAGCGGGCAAAGTGCACTTGGCCCGTTTCGTGCTGGACGCGCTGGACCGCAGTATCATCGACTGCCGCGCAGAGCAGGGCCGGACGCCGCTCATGGTGGCCGTGGGGCTGCCGGACCCCGCGATGCGCTCGCGCTTCGTGCGGCTGCTGCTGGAGCAGGGTGCGGCCGTGAACCTGCGGGACGAGCGCGGCCGCACTGCACTGAGCCTGGCCTGCGAGCGAGGCCACTTAGACGCCGTGCAGCTGCTGGTGCAGTTCAGCGGCGATCCGGAGGCGACGGACTCGGCGGGCAACAGCCCGGTGATGTGGGCGGCTGCGTGCGGTCACGGGGCGGTGCTGGAGTTCTTGGTGCGCTCTTTCCGCCGCCTGGGCTTACGCCTTGACCGCACCAACCGTGCGGGCCTCACCGCGCTGCAGTTGGCTGCCTCCCGCGGCCACGGGACCTGTGTGCAAGCCCTTACCGGGCCTTGGGGTCGGGCAGCCGCTGCGGCAGCGGCCCGGGGCTCCAACTCCGACAGTCCCCCTGGCCACCCTGCCCCGGCGCCCAGCCCAGAGCGTCGACGACCCAGCCCCCGTCGTCTACCGCGCCCTCTTTTGGCACGGTTTGCGCGAGCTGCCGGAGGCCACGGTCACGGTCACGGCCATGGCCACGGCCACGGAGGTGAGCTTGCCCCTGCTGGCAAGGGCTCGGGCCGTCACAGGGCACAAGGCAACGAGAGGCCAGAGTTGGGCAGGAGCATGAGCCTAGCTCTGGGTACCATGACGGAGGAGGAGACAGCACGCCTTAGGGCAGGAGCTCTGATGGCCCGACCAAACTCACCGCAGTCTTCGGGGAGTGGGCGGTGGCGTTCACAGGAGGTGCTGGAGGGAGCGCCACTGGCTTTAAAGCAAGCCCCGGTCGGCCTTAGTCCTCATCCCGAGGGTGGCCCCGGCTCTGGCCGCCTGGGTTTGCGCCGACGTTCTACAGCCCCAGACATCCCCAGCCTCGTCGGGGAGGCTTCCGGGCCCGAGAGTGGGCCAGAATTGGAGAACAACGCTCTGCCTTTCTCATTGCCTGGGCCAAAGCCTTGGCAGGCGGGCACAGAGGCTGTGGTATTACAGGCTCAGCGGTAAGGAGCATGAAGGTCGAGACCTGTAAAGTCCACTCTGTCTCTAGTTACTGAGATGTCTCCCTTTCCTCCAAGTCCTTCTTTTTCTCTGCAATTTGCTGTCCCTCCCGGCCCCACTGCTAAAGGGAGACCTCCTCTAGTCCTCCACCAGATGTAAGAAAGAGATCCCATCTTTTTGTGTGCCCATTGGTATTTTGGTATTTCCTACGTAAATCTCCCACCTTCCTCCAACTTGACTTCCATGTCCTGGGGAAAAAGGAGGTGTGAACAGCTGTTTCTGTAGGCTTCAGCTTTCTAGCCGGAAAGGTGGATGGTTCAGGCCCACCCTCAGCGCTGAGGTTCAGCTGCCTAGGTTCGGGTCCTGCAGCATCCCTTGCCTGTTTCTAATGTTTCCCATCACCTCAGCAGCCAGGAAACAGTAGCGCTGGCTTTGGAAAACAAGCGCCCAGACGGCTGTGCCTGCTGATGCTGACCATAATAGTTTGACGAACTACCAAAGTCTCCTTTCTCTGTAAGTGTTGGAGAAAAGGGAGAAATGCGGCGGTTCCATTAGCTTTTTGGACAAGAGGGCTGATTATGAAGGAATCCAGTGGTTAAGGTTTTCTGAGGCAGAAACTCCTCTTTCAAGGCCACAAGAATATTTGGGACTTAAGATCACCCCCCCCCCCCTTTAGGTATTTACCAGCTTTCCCTTCTGGGAAATAAACTTCCTTTGACTCTGTCTCATTCAGGCCCAGGGTTCAACTTCATTGATATTGTAGGGTCACTGCTACCCCAAGCCCCTACTAACACTTGGCTTCTGGGCCAGCTTGACCCCCAAATGACTGCATTTGAAATTCATCTTTGAGGTTCAATTCTTCCCTCATCCTGGCCCAGTCTTACTTATATTTCCACTTAGTCCCAGAGGCCTGAAATGGAAAAGACATAGCACCCCCACCTCCTCCTTCCTTCCAGCCCTCCCATTCCTCACGTGGGCACTCCAGTAGGGTGGAACAGTTAGGAAGGATTTGCTTAATTGTATTTCTCCCAACCCTCAAAAGAACTCGTGTCTTGAGCCTTTGTGTATGAAGCAGAAAGCAGCAGGTCTGATCCGAGGCTTAAGAACCTGACAACGTCTCTTTAAATAGCACCTCCGCGAGGGGGATAATTGACTGGAGTGTTTGCAACGTTAAACGGCGGCGGGCGCGGGAGTCAGAGCCCACACGAACCGCAGGTCCGGGTCTAAATTACATCAAACTCCCGAGGGAGCATAGGAGGGGGCTGCTAAACGCCTCCTGCTTCTTGCTGGGCTGTTAATGGAGGGCAGGGCAGATGATGGATGCTAGATCAAGGACCCCTGCCTGGGCCCCACCGCGTGGGATGCAGGCCCAGCCCAGCTTCCAGCTTTTGTAACTGGGCAGATTAGTGAGTCAGAGGCAACTGTGGAGAAGTAGTTAGGCCCCCTCCCGGCGAAGTCTTTTGTCCTCTCCCGATCCGCCCCTGCCCTCCAACACTGCCGCCTCGAGAGGGGGCGAAGAAAAGAGTTTGACAGGTTGCATGCTCTACGACCCTGGTGTCAGTGCTAGCTCCTGGTGGAAGATCTGTACCAGCAGGGTGGGGGGAAAAACCCTCCTGCTTCAAGACAGTGAAAGTTTTCTGGCCGTGGTAGTACCTCGGGTTTCTATTTGTGAACCCCGAAGAGTGAGCATGTAGCCCCTCACTTGCCTGCGATAAAGTCTTTTAAGACGTTGATCTTTGTGGAAGATCGTCTTAGTGGAAAGATTTTTCACCAACAACTCCGAGGGAACTGCCCAGAGAGACTGCTGGTGCTCAGAAACTGGGTCTGCGGTCACAGGGTAGGAAGTCGGAAACCAGTTTTTGCAGGGGCCAGAGAGTTCCGCAGTTCCTGTCCTCCCTCACTAGCGTCCAAGGCCGCGCGCCAGCCCACAATTGGGACCGTGATCCTTGCTGCCCCCTGGTGGCACCTCTGCACTCTCCTCGCTGCGCCCTGGGAGCTCAGACTTGGCTTTCATCGGGAGATTATCAACGTGTAACTTCTGCCTCTGTGCTTTTTACCCATGAAGCGTGTTGCTCTCATAAAAATATTAAATCCGGATACTTGAAGTCACTTCACTTCAATGAAGTGAGGAACAGTGAACAAGGAAAGTCAGCACTGGGTGTGGTAAGAAGTGCTCAGAAGCCCACCAAGGATCCCTTTACCAAGACCCCAAGTTATTTTGCAAGCTAAGGCTATTGTTGGAAGATCTCCTGCTATCTTTAGAACAGCTGGAGCTGCCAACCCTTATGGCTTCTGAGCCTCGACCTGACCATGTGTGTTGTCTTGTGACAGTTGCTATCCATTCTGGGGTGATCTCTCTGCCACCCCACACCACCCAGACACACACAGACACTCCCAGCCTCTGCCTCCCACACCTGCACATAAAAACTGCCTTTTTTTTCACCCTGAGGGGCAGATGAACAGTATACCACAGTGTCTGAAAAGTCAGAGGAGGTCAGGGCTGGGACACCCAAGCTTCTCCTCTGACCCTTCCTCGCTCACATTCCGTTTCCAACTATGTTTACTTTTAGTGACATTTTTAATGATGTAAAGATACAAATATATTTGGCTTACATGTTGTGTCAGAGGTGCTGCCAACCATCCAGTTTCACTGATGTGTACCCTGTGGGAGTGTCATCTTGGTGAGTCTCTGTTGGGGAAACGACTGCTCCTGTCTGTGGTCCATGGAGTTGCTGGAAGATGGGTGGTTTCAAAGTGCTGTTTCTGATACACTGTAGATCTTTCCCATCTGAACTGAGTTGTGAGCCTTATTGTCTGCCCTTAGCTTTAGCTAAGCCTTGGCAGGCTCCGTACAGAACTCCAGCACACTTCACTCGATCTGGACTTCCTGTTAGTTCTAGGTATACTGAGGCTGCCATCCTCTCTTGTCCCCTCCCACAGTAGAAAAGACTGCTGCATATTCTGCTTTTCTTATTGTAATCATTGTGAAGAGTTGCCCCAGCCACTGGCGCTTTAGCGCTGGTTGTCCTGGAAGGGTGTGAAGGGCATAGGCACATGCATTTGGAGGATATGCTGAAAAAGACTAGCAAGGGTAGGAGCAGCTAATAAACCCAGTGTTATTCCATTGGAGAACTGGCCTCTCTTTGCCTTCCTGTTCACTGCTGCCTCTTGGCTTCCTTTGAAAAGATGGAAGCATGCACTTTGGAGGCACTTCCTGCCTTCATCAGCCCATGGCCATTCTACAGCTAGAGAGTCATAGGGGCTGCTTCTCTGAGAACTGCTGCTGGGGCTGGGGCTGGGGCTGGGGCTGGGGCTGGGGCTGGGGCTGGCTCCTTGCTCCAAGTTAAGTGGTTCCAATGAGCATTGTGTTGGGTATAGAGCTCAGAAAAGGAAGACTGAAATCACTGTCAAAGAAAAAGCAAAAAGGTAACTTTCCCACTCCCCAACCCCAGGGCTAGAACCCAAGTTTCTGGCCACTTCCCTGATCTTTTGAAATTTCAGAGTCCTTCTGTTTTAACTAATGAACAGGGGCTGCTTTCTCTCAGGTAGAAGTTTCAGGGAACTTGCTATGGGCAGCCTGAAGACCAGAAGGGAGAAACCAATGTTGAAAGAGGTCAGCCTCGCTGGGCAGTGGTGGCACATGCCTTAAATCCCAGCACTTGGGAGGCAGAGACAGGTAGGTTTCTGAGTTCGAGGCCAGCCTGATCTACCGAGTGAGTTCCAGGACAGCCAGGGCTATACAGAGAGACCCTGTCTCAGAAAAAAAAAAAAAAGAAAGAAAAAAAGAAAAAAAAAGAAAAAAGAAGAGAAAGAGGTCAGCCTCTGTGGCCACAGGTTGCCAGAGCCCTCCCACACACCTCCACCCCGTGGCTCCTCGGGGCTCAGCCCTGACCAGAGAGCCTTCTTTCCCCTTTGCTTCCATCCCTAGGGCCTTCCATTTCCTGTCTCCTGCTTCCTTAGCCCTCATTCTAGGTGTCCAAGCCAAAAAAGCTGGGTGTTTTATAGACTCGAGTAATCACGGAGGAGCCCACAAGGCACCCATGCCAAGGGCACCCAGCTCCAAGAAAGCCTGGCCAGCTTCAACTGCAGAGAATGAAAACCCAAAGGCTCGAACATTTAGTTTAATTTAAAACAGGCACAAGTGCAAACAAGTCACAAACATTTCTAGGGAAGGATGCTTTTGTTTTTGTTTTAAAACTCTGACCCTTAAAAAAAAGACCTTGCATTTTTTTTTCCCTAATGCAGGTCATCAGGGAACAGAGGAGTCTAAAAATATTATCTGGATAGGGTCCAGACACTGGAGTTCTTCCTTGGCGTTCCCTGTCTCACAACAGCCAGGAAGGTGGGAAGGGAGGGAGGGCAAGGAGGCAGGTTAGTATCCGCAGGGCAACTGGGGCAGCAGGCTCACAAAAGGAGGTGCCCATCCCTTGGCATGAGGGACCCCCTCCCAGGAGGTGGTTCACCTTTCTGTCCCAGCCCAGGGTTCTGAAGAGGAGGGGTCCCTGATCTGGCTACTGAGAAGTTGCTGACAGGTAAAACAAAGTTTATTCCCTTACTATTCCTGCCTCAGTATGGGAGAAACTCAGAAACTTTGAGGGCCCCCAGCATGTGTTAGACTTGACATACACACACTGGTTAGGTAATAACATGACACTTGAGAGGCAGAAAGCCAGGTCCAAGAAGCAGGTTCTTTCAGAGTGGAGCTTGGTAGAAAAGAGGTGGGGAGCTCTTCTGAGGGGCTCTGTGGGTAACTGGAAGAACCTGGGCCATTGGGGGAATTTTACACACACACACACACACACACACACACACACACACAGAGAGAGAGAGAGAGAGAGAGAGAGAGAGAGAGAGAGAGAGAGAGAGAGAATATGTTCCCTACGTCCTGGAAAAATGGAACTACATTTACTGCCAACCCCACTCTCTCTCAGAAGATTCCCCCTTGCTGCCCCCATGGCTCACACAGACGATTCACAGTTCTGTAGAGGCAGGCTTTCTAGAGAGAGGCAGTGCCAGGGAACAGACAGGAAACAGGTGCAAGTGGGGCTTCCAGAAGTCAGACCAAAGGAGGAAGAAGGATTCAGGCAGTGGAATCCTTCCCCGTGGCCCTATGGGACTCCAGGGTTTGAAGCTTTAGCTGAGAATAGCAAGTGTCCATGTGAAGATGGAGCATGCACCCTCTTGGTGGCCCCGGGTCACTGTGGACACTGCCTTTAAGAATCTGAAGCAGCCTGTCAGCTTTGCTGGCTCATGGCCAAGAGCACCACTCTCCATGTTTCTTAGAAACATCCCTGTGCAAATAACAAAGGGCCAAACCTGCAGAAGGGGTCACTGTCATCCCAAAGGCAACTGGGACTCTGGGGAGTGAGACTGAGGGGGGCAGGTCCGGC